ATGTTTTAAGAAATCTCTAGGTGAGAAAGAGTTCTTTTAATGTTACCAACGTACTGAAACATTTTAAGAATTATTTCAATAAAAAGGTTTTGATTTATTTTTCTCGAGAATAATTTTTTTTTAATAAATAAAAAATCAAAGAAATTATTTTTCGAATACTGAAAATAAGACTGTTTTATCAAAATCAAAGGATAACACGTTGTTAATTGGTATCATTTTTAACGGGCGTTATGGGTGTGCTAATCCTTCTCCACGCGTAACCGACTCTCGAACCCAGACTGTTTCGCAGACCGTAAAATTATCTTTTTAATAAATTTTAATTAATTTTAAGATTTCATTAAAATGATATGTTTTAATAGGTGGCCAATTGCACGTAACCAAAAAAGATTGGTGGCGACTCCGTTATTTTTATTTTGTTTTCAAATTCGTCGGGCGGACACAAAACCGTTACGACACATAGTATGTGTACCTTCGAGAAGTTAACTCACCTAAAGTAATTAAATTGTAGCTACAACTCGGTACATACCTTACATGACGAAGCGTTCTAATAACACCATTATGAGATCTAAGGCAAACACTCTCAATGCCTTGAATCTACACCTTTTCATTATTAAGAACCATAATTTTCCCATACTTTTCATTCTCATCCAACTTCACAAAGCAATTTCTATTATTGCAAATATGAATTGTAGCAACAGAATCTAAAGCTCAACCTTTATCACCTTTCAAAATCTGAGTCCCATTTACACAAGTCGTCAAAACAATATCATCATCATCAAACACAACAGCAGCAATATCATTCTTTCCTTCATCTAATTTTTTTTCATCATTCGCTCTTTTAAAAGTAGTTATATCCCTTCTTAGCTTTCTGTAACGTACTTGGATATGTCTTTTTTTGCTACAATAATAATATTTTATATCACTATAATCTCTATCTCTTGACTTAGATCTCCCTCTTGATCCATCAATTCTCTTTTGAGTCATTCTTCGATCAAAATCCTCTACAGCTAGTGTACTCCCTCTAGATGATGAGTTATGTGCTTTCATAAACCTTTCATTCTCATACAACAAGGTAATCACATCATCTAACTTCAAAGTAGACATACCCACTAACAAAGTTTGAATTAAAGGCCTATAAGATTTGGGCAAAGATGACAGAAAAATTAAAGCCTTCTCTTCATCTTTTAACTCATCAACAGAAATTACCAACAATTGAGAAACCAATCTATTAAACTCATTCAGGTGATTATAAAGACTCGTACCTTCTTTTATCTTTAGATAATACAGATTCATTTTCAAACATAATCTGTTAATTAATGACTTCAAAGCATAAATACCCTTAAGCTTATCCCGTAAACTCTTCGAAGTACTCTCAGTCAACACACTGTACTTTATTTTTGGAGCTAGCATTAATCTAATAGTACTTACAACTTTCTTCTGAATTTTATTCTAATTATCGTTAGATATTTCTTCAAGCTTACTATTTTCTAATGCCTGATCCAACCCTTATTGTACTGACAGATCTTGCATCGTACTTTATCGTAATATAAAATTACTCTTTTCATCAAATAATGGAATCTCAAACTTAAGCATAGGTATATTAGACATACATTCTTCAGACATCTTTAAACATTACTTCAGATCTCTTGGGCTCACGAACCTTAACCCTCGAACTTCACTCTGATACCACTTGTTAGAGATCACCACAACTTTGATACCACTTATTAGAAAATCAACATAGCTCTGATACCACTTGTTGAAAAAATCAACACGCACACGCATAACTCACATGCAAAATAGCAAACTCAAATCAAGAATAAGAACACACAAATATATTTGTTTCGGCCCAACTCAAAATGGCCTACTTCAAACCTAATTCACTATCAAATAAAATAAATCTTTACAATTGTGAGACTTTTAAAATGAGAAAAGTCTCTAAAAATTTCTTACTCAAAACTTAACCCAAAACTCAATTACACTATTTTAATAGCCTACTCTCCTAGCTATTCTTTTGGTACTAACTATTTGGGATTACCAAACCAAAACTAAAACATCTTATTTATAAGGGTGAAACCCCTTATACCTTTACTAAACTTTTAATGTGGGATACAAGATAAACTAAAAAAAACTCACTAATTTTTTATGTGAGATTATGAGATTCAAGGCAAATCCTAGCAATCTTTAACTCGAATATACCATAATAGATTAAACAAAAGATGGTGGATGGGTTGAAGATACAAAAGGTTGAAAATCTAAGGGCGTATTTAGGGATTCCTTTATGTTGGGGAAAGACAAAAATATAAGCAATGAGATTTATCAAGGATAAAATAGTGGGAAAGATGAAAGCATGGAAGAAAAGCTTTTATCTCAAGGAAGAAGATAAGTGTTAATAAATGTTGTAGCAAGTGCCATTCCAATCTATACAATACATTGCTTTAAATTACCAAAAAAAGTAAGTGAAGAAGTAAATGCAGCTATAGCAAATTTTTGGTGGGGCAGTAGTAAGACAAGAACAGGATTCATTGGATAAATTGGCCAAATAAGACAATAAGAAAAGGAAAAAGAAGAATGGGATTCAAAGATTTGAGTATAATGAATAAAGCTCGATTGGCTAAGCACTGTTGGAGAATAATGGTTGATTTTGATGCATTATGGGTAAGAATAATAAAGGGAATATACTTTCCAAAATGCTCATTGATGAAGGCAAAACAAAAGTGAAAGCGTCTTGGATATTGGTGAATTTGTTAGAGGAAAAAGAGGTTTTGAAGGAACGCATAACATGGCAAGTGATGGGAAAAAAGGATGTGAATATTTAGAGGGATAAGTGGATACCTAGAATTATGTTAAAGCAACCTGATGAAGAACAAATACAAAGAATGAGATTGCCCATAAGAGTATCAGAGATTAGTGATAGAGAAAAAAGAGGATGGAGACTAGATGCCATTAAAGGAAAAATAACTACAGATGAGGTAAAAGCCATTGAAACAATCCTTGTATGCCAGGAAAGAGGAAATGACATAATTATATGGTTGAGTAATGCAAATGGGGAATACTTAGTAAAAGCTGGATACCATGTACTAAAAGAGGAGAGAGTGAAAAAAAAAGAATGCAAATCTTCATCTTCTCATACCATAAAGGATTTGATTTGGAAGACAATCTAGAAATTGCCTTTCCACCTAGGATACAAAACTTTATGTGGAAAGCCTACACCAATTCAGCTGCAACAACTCAAAATCTATGGAGAAGAAAGGTAAAAAATAGTCATATTTATCAAATTTACAATATAGAACCTGAAACCATTGAACACTTTTTGATTCTGTATGAATGGACATTGGTTGTGTGGTTTAGAGTTGATATAGGATATAGGGTGGATAGGGAAAAAGTAAAAACAATTAATTCTTGGTTGAAGAGGTTCTTTGAAAACAAACAGATGGGGTAAGAGGAAAGAAAAAGACTGGAGATGATAATTGCTCATACTTGTTGGTTAATTTGTAAAGAGAGGTGTAACACTATCGTCCAAAACAAAAAGCCAGAGCCAATAGAAGTGATAAAGAAAAAAAAAGTAGTTGGGTAAAGGTCGAACATAATGGAGAAAGAGACGATACTACAAACAATAAATAAGATGGAGAAAGAAAGTGGCAGAAACCAAGAAAAGAATGAAAGATAAATTGTGATGGAGCTTACAGTGAAAAAAGTAAAAATGTTGGGATAAGAGTGGTTATAAAAAACTGTGAAGAAGAATTGGTGGGTAGAAGAGGGAAGGAAATAGTAGTATATGATATGGTAGAGGTTGAAGCATTGGTTGTGAAAAAGGGAGTGATGCAGGCTAGCAATATGAGGTTTAGGAAAATACTTGTTGAGACAGGATCCAATTGTGAAAGATATTGAAAGAATGAAAGGGAAGTTTGAAGGATTCAAAGTTAATTGGATCAACGGGATTGCAAAAGCAGCAACAAATTAGATTGCACACCAATTCAAGAGGAAAATAAGCTTGTCAAATTGGGTTAACCAAACCCCATTTTCCTTGGTGAGCATTCCAAGTAAGGATGGTTTGCCGTGCACTCTGTTAAACTGAAGGAGAGGTAACACTAAGTATTTAGAGTTGTTGTTTTTAGGATTACTCAAAAAATACTTAGGATTTAGTTTTGTTTGACTATGAAGGGATTGTGTGAAAATAAATATAAGTTTGTACACGATGTAAAGGATTACAAATGAAATAAACTATTTTTTGATTGAGTGGCCAAAAAAAAAATTTACACGTCCAATATTATAGGTGTCTAATGTGTGGTTAAAAATGCAGATATAAGACTATTAAAAATAATCTCCTTCCTTCAACCACTATCACCCGAATGCTTTTGTTATTAGTAAGAGTGTAAATAATACATTAATATTCACAAATTATTCGAATTCGATTCGAATAAAATTTAAATTTGACTAGATTATTATCGAGTCGAGTTTAAACTCGAATAGCTTGACTTATCGATTAAGTGAAGTTTGAACATTCTTATATTAAGTTCAAGTAGCTGACGAGTCTAATCGAATTTTTATATTTAATTATATTTTTATTATTTTAATTAATAAAATATTTCGAACTCAAATTTTAGCTCGAGCACAAATAATCGAGCTTTTATCAAATATAAAAATCGAAATTATTTTTACATGTTAATCGAGGTTGATCCAGTGAGCTTAAGTAATTCGATTTTTATTTTGAGTCAAGCTCGAGCTAAAAAAATAAAATTTAATCAAGTTTAATTCAAGTTTCGAACTTTAATTTCAAATCGAAATTGTTTAATCGAGTGAGCTCAAGTAATTCGATTTTTATTTCGAGTCGAGTTCAAGTTAAAAATATAAAATTTGATCGAATTCAATATAAATTTTAAATCTCAATTTTAAATTAAATTTAAACTCGAACTTAATACTATATTGATTCTATCTATTACACTCTTAATCAAAGGCAAATGGACTGGCAATGAAAAACAAATAAAAATGAGAGGCAATGACGAAAGGAGCTATGTCAGCAGCGAATTGGACACGTCGCTTGCCTTCTAGCATAATAACTTGACTCCAAAAGTCCAGTTACGTCAAAACGACCAAAGTCCCGGAAGACAGAAGTGCAGCACCAACTGAATTTCGTTCTGAACAAAGAGAAAGAGAATCGGAGAATGGGAAAGGAGATTGCTTTGCCTATGGTGGGCATGGTAATGGCAGAGTGTGCTCAAGTTGGACTAATGATAATGGGCAAAGCAGCCATGTCCCATGGGATGTCCAACATCATCTTTGTCTTTTATTCTAATGCTCTTGCCTCTCTCATTCTCCTCCCTTCTTCTTTTCTCTTCCACAGGTATCCTTCCCTTCCCTTCCCTTCCGTCTTTCTCTCTCGCTCTGTAATACCCATAACACCATTTCGTTTGATTTCTATTTGCTAGGCAGATCAGGGCGTCCTCCACTCTCTTCCTCTATTCTCTGTTGGTTTTTCTTGCTTGGCCTTCTTGGGTATGTAAGATAAATGAAAATCATGATGTGCTTCTTCTTTTTGTTTTATTTAGTTGAATGAATTCTTGTTTCTTTTTAATCTCCTTGGTGCATGCACGAGTATTGGATTGTATTAAATGTCTAGGGTTTGAGGATTTCATTGATATTTTACTTGTATGCAGTTGCTTTGCCCAGATTTTTGGGTATGCTGGGATATATTATAGCTCGCCTACTCTTGCGACTGCCATGCTTAACCTCATCCCAGGTCTCACCTTCATACTTGCCGTTGCTTTCAGGTTATTTTCTCCTGTCCTACTGTTTTGTTTGTAACTGCTTAATCTGATAACTCTAGATTATTATCATCTTTCTGTTGTCCATTTCCTGTCTCTTGTTTCCCTCTTTGTGTTGAGGGAAGTTGATTTTTCATGGAACTAATGCCATTTAATTCATTTAGATTTAGGATAAAAAAGTATAGGTGGATAAAGGAATATAAGGAATCAATGTAGCAGGGCCAATGGTTGGAGCCATAGTTTGAAGTAATTTATCTGCAGCCTTCATTTTTTGTTTGTTTATATACCTCGTAATTCCTCTTGGGATTGCTTGTGTGGTTAAGAAATATGGTTGGTTAGAGGAAGCAGACTGCAGTCCCTAGGAAGTTGCCTGCGCCTCTTATTAGTACAAAAGGGCATACATGGGAATTTATTTAAGTTACAAATGTGTTTAATCTCCTTGCCACAAATAGTGATATTCATCACTTTATAAGCTGCTTACAACTGAGATCCTTCTTATAACAGTTTTCCTTGCTTTTTATTCTCATTTTGAAACCCTGTTGGATAGCCAAGGACTAATACGGTATTCCTTTTAGCCAACAATTGTCAAGGTCAACTTAGACTTGGTGTTAGGTATTGTTATTGCATTCTTATTGGTGTAAATTGAATCCGGGTGATAAATGTGGTGTAGATATCTGGAAGAAATTTTAGGTTGATTGTGGTTCTTGTTGGTTTTTCATGTTGTCATCCCCACCTTTCCAAAAAAAAAAAAAAAAAACGAAAGAAAATGAAAGATACTTTAAAAGAATGGTTTGCTTTCTTTTAAAATCGATGTTATCCAGCTAAGCTTCTTGTTCCTGTCCAATCTTTCCCCTGTTCTATTATCTCAAATTATATGTCAATACATGAGCAGTGAATGAACTGAATTGGCTATTTACATACTTGTCATGTGCAAAATATTGTAGTGAAGTGCAGTTGTGTAACAGTAGCAGACGGGTAAAACATATGTTGTTGTAGATAGATTTAAATTGTTGCATTTGGTGATTTCAGGATGGAAAAACTGCATTTGAGAAGTAGCAGTAGCCAAGTTAAATCACTGGGAACAATAGTGTCAATTGTTGGGGCATTCATTGTGACTTTCTATAAAGGCCCCTCACTTTTGATGGCACCCTCACATTCAAGCTCACCTCATCAACTTCTCATGCAGCAGTCTAATTGGGTCATTGGAGGATTTCTCCTTGCTGCTGATTGCGTGTTTGCTTCTGCCTGGATTATTGTACAGGTTGAATTATCTTCTTTGTATGTGTGTGTAAAGTTGAAGCAAGTTTCATTGTGATTTCTTACTTTAAGAGAAAGGAAATGATTTGTATTCCTTATCTTTCAGGCATCAGTCCTTAAGAAATTCCCAGCTGAGCTTATTGTTGTCTTCTACTATTGCTTCTTTGTGACCCTTCAGTCAGGAATAGTCTGTTTGGTTATGGAAAGAGATCTGAGTGCATGGAGCTTTAAACCTTATGTGAGATTGGTTGCTGTTTTATACTCAGTAAGTGGTTAGAGTCTAAAAATATTCTATACTATATAATTTAGCAGTTGGGTACTGCACAGTTAGCCTAATTTTCACCTAGTTAATCAAGAGCTTTATCATGGGAAAATGTAGGCTGTGTTTGGTTCTGCCTTCCAACTTGGGGTTTCTACCTGGTGCCTGCATAGGACAGGGCCTGTTTTTGTTGCCATGTTCAAGCCTTTGGGAATTGTCATTTCAGTTGTCATGGGTGTTATCTTCTTAGGGGATGCATTCTATCTTGGAAGGTAATGTATTCATCATTCGCTATACTTGTTATTGCAGTAGTTTTGCTGTCTGTATTGTTATTACTATGATTGCTGTTGTTGCTGCTGCTGCTTTACATCTTGGTTTTGTTTAGAGCTCTTTTCAGCTATGGGATGTAGATGGGATTTCAAGCTTATTTCTCATTTATCATGTTGTTCTTTCTTGTGTCCACCCTCTCATTATTAATAAAAGAAAGTAAGACATAAATTACCAATTTTATTTCAAACATGTGGCAGTTTAGTTGGAGCAATTGTCATTGTTGCTGGGTTTTACTCGGTGATGTGGGGAAAAGCGAAAGAAGCAAAGGTAGATGAGCATACTCTGGCGATGACATTGGAATCAAGCAGTCAAAATGTTGCTCTCTTGTCAAATAATACTGGAGAAACATAGGAGTTTTTGAACAGTCAACAAAACAGGTATCTCATTTTAAATGTAACAGTGCCATTGTGTAATCTTCAGCTAATTTTGGGGATTTGGCTCACTACTCACTATAGGCTTGGATTCTTTTCTAGATAACACCCCCAAACCACAGCATAAATAAAACAGGAAACCATTGACCTAAGAAAGACCATGTTTGTTTTACAAGCTAGCTCACCAGATTTGGTTGGCCTATATCTCAAGCTGCCTTTGTTCATGCTATAGGAATTGAATAGTAGGAATCTTCAGTTTGAAGAGATCATTCAATAAAATAAGCAAATAAAGGGATTTATTCTTTGTTCTATAATATCAAGTCAATCAGTTTGGTAATAAGGACATAGGATATATATTTTTTTTTGGCATCTTTTTGGATATGCACATTTACCTTTCACAGTAGTTCTTAATCTCATAGTTATAGTGCAGGGCATATCCAGACTTCATTGCAGTACAACTGGTGTAAATATAGGATTGCTTTGAAGGTTTAAAAAGAGTTGACAAGCCATTCTCATACAGTTTGGATTAGAGTAGAATTAATTAAGCTGGTAGCATTGATCGTTATAGTAATTGACTTGTGTCATTATTTAAAATTTATCTCAAGGTTATGAAAATATCCATATTTAATTATAATTTCTTTTTTTGTCACTCACATATATGTAGTATTACCGGCATACATTACATCAAGTTGGTATTGATGGTTGGTTTGAATTAGCCATAGCTATCTGTTGTCCCCTGCTGCATTCTATTACACAGTGCTTTTCTCTTTTTCCTCTTAATTTATAGGTCAGGAGACAATATATAAGGTTATTTCAAATAATATCGGGCACCTCCAGAGTATGAGAAGACAACTTTAGTACATTGCTTTTATCCTTTCAAACCATTGAAGCACACTTTTTATTCTTTCATATTTTGAATAATAATTTATCTGTCGACGAGTTGATAGTCTGTATGATTTCCTTTTCTTTTTTAGCTTTTCTCTCCTAGTATGAGTTGTGCAAATCCTTGAGAATTTGCCCATATGTCATTTTTGACGTATTAGTTAGTATTATAATTGTTTAGCCTGCACCTGAAGGGAGGAAAAAGTCTAATAGAAACAATGTGACTGGATAAACATTTCTTTTGGTGTAATACTGGGTGATGGATATGGGAGGCACGAATATGGATGTGAGCATTGCGTAGAAGTTCAGTCGTAATTAGGACTTACCAGGGTTGTGCAGAAAATACTAATCTTGCATAAACACATTAGGGGAAGTGCACTGCATCTTAAAACCACCCATTTGTTACTATTTCTCTCTTCTTCCAATAACTAGGTAATAAATTGCAATTACAGCACTCGGTTGATTAGGGAGACGAAGAAATTTTCAGTGTTTGTGATGTATGGCGGACTGGAAATGGATTAGCTAGCCTCTCTGCACATATAAAATAATGATGAGGGTGCGATACATTCAAATATATAATACTATTTTTTTAATACTTGAAGTAATCAGGATTTGAGTTTTGATAATTATAATTAAAAGTTTAACATTCTATCTTTATCATAAAAATAACAGGGGCCCTAACCATCCCTTCCAAATCTTTTAATACCACAACGCCAACCCCCATGAAATCAAAAACATTTTAGATTATGACCCATTGTTAACTATTAAACCTTTGCTCAAAAAACATTGGTGTAATAAAGTATTGAAGCCAAATTAAATGAAAACATCCAAATCTCTACCCCTTAATCAATGTAAAAAAAATACATAAATAAATGAAAACATGTAGCCAAGTTATTTAATTGAAACGAAACCAGCGTATTAAGAATTTTGTTTTATTAATTATGGTTTGGAGCATTAATATTTAACTAGTTTTAAGCCCATGCTATGCATGGGTAGAGCATTTGTTTTTTATATATATATATATATATATATATTATTAGTATCGAAAGAATCGTGTGAGTAAAATATTAGAAGGTTTATATTGGCTTAATAAATACATAGCCATATTTAATATACTTATTATTATTATTTTAATAACATTAGAAAGTCGAATTTTGATTTTTATTAAATATTTAAGAATATTATGTAATTTCAAAATATTAAATAAGGTAAATTTCTTTTTTTTCATTTCCAAATAATTGTCAAATATTACTTTTTTTAAAAATTTAAAGTTTTACAGGTGTTATACATGGGGCACTTTTAAACCTCTCGCCTTTAAGCTTTCTTAGCAATCTCTGTAATTCACTTTTTTCCTTTTAAAGCACTTGATTGACTTGATCGTCAAATCACCACCCCTTAATCATACTTTCTAACTAATGGTATAAATCATTCCTCAAACGACTTAAAAATCACCTTTAGTGCTACCCACAACTAAAACACAATAAAAATATATATATCTTTGGATAAATAATAAAATTTTAATTATTAAAAAAATAACCGAAACCAAAGTTTTAGTTGTACATTAACGTATGAATCTCACGTCAGCATCTCCCCCGATGCTTGGATCAGGAGTCAGGCAACCAAGTCGCTTTTTCATTCCCATGTAGCTTCACCCATATTTGAAGGGCTACTCTCACTGTCTTCTTCTCACAAAAGAAAGCCTCTTTCGTTCTTTATAAATACCCCACACACGCAAGCAGGCGGCCAAACAAAGAGAGGGAGCACAACTTAACAAGCCTGCTTCGTGACAGGTTTTTTCATTACTTGGTGAACTCTCTACCTCTTGTTGCTGTTTGTTTTGATATATCATCCAAAAGAGGGAATGGGTGAAGTAGTGCCGTCTAAGGTGATGGTGTTAATGGAGGGTTGCACCATAGCATTGACGATATTGGCGAAAACGGCCATGGGTATTTGTAGTGTACACCAATGCTATTGGTTCTCTCCTGCTACTCCCTTTTTCCTTTCTTTTTCACCGGGAAAGGTGTCTCTCCTCTGTTGGGAATATTGACTCAAATCTCATAAGAGATTTATTTGAGATTTGTTAGAGATTTGTTTGAGATTTGTTAGATATTGCTTGATGGACAAGAAGACTTGCAAAAGAAGAATTTCAAGAGAAAGGAGATTCTTAATAGGTAAGTTTGACTTGCAAGAAAAGAATTCTAAAAGGAAAGGGATTCTTAATAGGCAAGTTTGACTTACAGGAGAAGAATTTTAAGAGGAGAGGGATTCTTAATAGGCAAGTTTGTATGGTTATAAATAGATGAAATCTCTACAGGGTTAGGTATGAAAAAAAGATGTAAGAGAGTTGTAGGATTTTGTGGGATAGACACTTTATAGGAGTATTGGGGCTCTACGTCTTATGTGTGTGTATGTTTGTTTGTGAGTGAACTAGAGGAGACTGAGATGGTCCACATAAGTATGATATATGAGAGCATATGTGTATGTGTTTGGTTATGTTGAAAAGGTGCACAAGGGTTTGGGTTTGTGTTTGTTTGGGTAGAGAATACTTCATAGGACTAGAGGAGATTGAGAGTATCTTATGAGTATTGATTGTTGAGTGAGGTTGATGATTTGATGTAAGTTTGTAATTCTCTACAACTAGTGGATCTTTTTTCTCATCCGTAGATGTAGGTCAGTTGGACCGAACTACGTTAAATTGTTGTCTCTTATGTGTTTGATTTATTGTTTGATTTTACTTCCGCTGTGTGTGATTGGATTAGAGGCTTTTAGCCCAACAAATGGTATCAGAGCTGTGGTGTTCCCCAACAAGTGGTATCAGAGCCGATGGTTCGAGACATGGGAAGAGTTGATAGTTCGAGATATGGAAAGCCCATGATTTGAGACATGGGAAGCAAGTCCAGAGGAGCTCGATTCAAGAAAAGAGTTCCAGTTCAAGTTTTGAAGATTGAGGATTGGTTTGTATGAAACGTGAAGACACAAGAGAAGAGAAGATGATTGTAAGACTTTCATTGCAGGTAGAGCCAAACATGTCTAGCATGAAGACAGATGATTGATGGAATTTGAGTCAAGGTAGAGATTGTTGGGAATATTGACTCAAATCCTATAAGAGATTTGTTTGAGATTTGTCAGATATTGCTTGATGGACAAGAAGACTTGCAAAAGAAGAATTCCAAGAGAAAGGGGATTCTTAATAGATAAGTTTGACTTGCAAGAGAAGAATTCTAAAAGGAAAGGGATTCTTAATAGGCAAGTTTAACTTATAGGAGAAGAATTCTAAGAGGAGAGGGATTCTTAATGGGCAAGTTTAACTTACAGGAAAAGAATTCTAAGAGGAGAGGGATTCTTAATGGGCAAGTTTGTATGGTTATAAATAGGTGAAGTCTCTACAGGGTTAGGTATGAGAAAAAGATGTAAGAAAGTTGTAGGGTTTTGTGGGATAGACACCTCATAAGAGTATTGGGGCTCTACGTCTTATGGGTGTGTATGTTTGTTTGTGAGTGAACTAGAGGAGACTGAGATGGTCCACATAAGTATGATATATGAGAGCATATGGGTATGTATTTGGTTATGTTGAAAGGGTGCACAAGGGTTTGGGTTTGTGTTTGTTTGGATAGAGAATACTTCATAGGACTAGAGGAGATTGAGAGTGTCTTATGAGTATTGATTGTTGAGTGAGGTTGATGATTTGATGTAAGTTTGTAATTCTCTACAACTAGTGGATCTTTTTTCTCATCCGTAGATATAGGTCAGTTGGACCGAACTACGTTAAATTGTTGTCTCTTATGTGTTTGATTTATTATTTGATTTTACTTCCGCTGTGTGTGATTGGATTGGAGGCTTTTAGCCCAACAAATGGTATCAGAGCTGTGGTGTTCCTCAACACCCTCTATCCTTCCCTTTCTATATCTTCATTTGCTCCTCATTTCTTGACACGTTGTTTCCATTCCAGTTCTTTATCTTTGTTTCTTTCTCACTGCAGAACAGAACAGTCGCTCTTCACCTACCCACTTTTCGTGCGTATATTTTTCCTGGGTTTAATAGGGTCTGTTCTATCTCTTCCATCTATATCTCTTTTTTGTTCTAACTTTAAAGTGAAAATTGACTCTTGTTTTTGGTGTTGATGATTTGTAGGATAGCAATATCTCAGAACCTTGCATTCGTTGGCCTAAGCTATAGTTCACCAATCGTTGTATGTGCAACGGGTCTCCTAATTCCATTTATTTCCTTCTTGCTTTCCATCATTCTCAGGTTCTTAATTTTCTGCCAGCCATCTTCATATTTTTATCTTCAGCTGTTCAAAAAGTTGGCTGAAATTTCATTAATCGCAGGACGACAAGGCTCGATTGCAGAAGCTCCAGCAGCCAAGCCAAGGTGATTGGCACCTTGATTTCAATCATAGGAGCAGTTGTAGTAGAACTATATAAAGGCCCGTTTATACGAAAATGCTCTTTTTTCTATGCCCACCCAACTTCAAGTTGTACAAAAAAGTTTTGTTTTCTTCTCGGCGCCAGACCGTTGGATTCTTGGTGGGATTCTGCTTGCGGCTGCTTCCCTATCGATTTCAATATGGAATATTATTCAGAAACAAAATTTCAGTTCACAAAAAAAATTTCATTCCTTTTCTTTTACCACACAAGCACTAGAACTTTTTTTTTTTTTTAATTCCTTTTTGGTCAGCTTGGAACCGTTGAACAATATCCTCAAGTGATGAAAGTGGCATCTTTTTACAGCTTAGCTGGGACTAACCAATGTCTGGTCTTCTCTTTGATTATGGAGAGAGACCTAAATGCTTGCAAATTGAAACTCGACCTGGAGCTCCTACTTATTATTGCGACAGTATGAACAAAATCCTGAAATTCTGCCAATTCAAACCAAACTATTAATTAATAAAGACTAATAGATTCAATTAATAATAACGTTTATAGGGAGTCTTTGGGAGTATTACCCGTAGCAACGTTCATTTAGCATGTACGCGAAGGAAGGCCCTTTTTATGTGTCCATGTTCAAGCCATTTGGGATAGATTTTGCAACATTCTATGGTGTCTGCTTCTTCACAGTCTTCATTATGGAAGGTAATTATATCATTTTCTCTGTTTTTTTTTTTTTTTTGGTTCCCACATTTCTCAGCTACTATAACCCGAAGTGACATTAAGCTAATTTCATAAACTTGAACTCTGATAAATAATGGATTCACTTAAAAAGTTAACAGCTTCATAATTCTCTAATTTCCTGCAAATATGCAAAAGCCTGTAGGTACAAAAGTTTTCATCTTATTGATACAAAACGTTTTGCAGTGTAGTAGGAACATTTATAACTGGAACGGGGTACTATGCTGTGATGTGGGGGCAAATAAGAGAAGAGGAACTGCGAGAAGAGCGTAATGTTGAAAGAATGGATGATACTTCAGACCAGAAGATCCCTCTGTTGCAGGAGAATGAAGATGCCCAAGTCTAGAGCACCACAACAATTATTGAAAGCAAGCGGAATGGTACTTTTTTTTTTTTTGTTTTAAGTGAAAGCTTCAGTAGCAGCAAGTGATCTGATCACTCAAATCAGAAGGTGCTGTGATTTGCTAGAAGGCCCTTCAATTACCTGTATATAATGATATGAAGGCCCCTCACTGTAAATTGTAAATCTTCCTGCTGGGTTTCTCTCTCTTTTTCTTTTTTTTTTTTTTTTTGTTTCTCTTTTTTCCCCTGCTTGGTCGTGGTTTGAGGACAGAGTCATCAAGTTTTAAATGACTCAGTCAAATATGGTTTCTTTGTGAATAAAAAACTGCAAAAATGATCAGGTCATATCTACTGCATATCATGGTGTGGTGAAATCAGTTATAGAAGTAGTAGGAGAGCGGTGAGACTTTTGGTTGCTTTATGGCCGGCTGGTGTTCAGTTCCCATTCATAATTCTTAAGGTTGTATCTAGAAGTTCAAAAACTATGAAATCCTTTCTTGCATATAAACGCAGAGCACATCTTGTAATCAGAGAAAATTGAAAAAAAAAAAAAAAAATCACCATCAAGTATTGATTGTTCTGTCTATTCTACATCATCAAATTAAGTTAATTAACCATATATTGATCCCACTAGGCTTAACTCAAGTTCCAATAACGGTTTGCCCATCGGATATTCATATAAAGAATAGGCTACAGATGAGATGAATGAATTATGTAGTGAGAGGCGATAAGCCTTCTACAAATAGAGGATCCGTCGACCTAAATTTATTTTATTTTAAATAAGTCATGGACATTTTACTATTTTCCCGAATTTTTAATTTATTTAATATAGTCTATGAAGTTTTTATTTTCTTTTAATTAAATCTAATTTAATTTTATCCAATTTAATTTTTTACAAGCTACATTGAATGTGATATATTTATTTTTTTTAATATGTTGACAATAAATACAAGTATTGTAATTTTTATTTAATTTGAATTAGATACTTTTAGTTTAGTATTAATTCTCTAATTAATTAATTTTATATTTATATATTATGATTTTCATCTAACAATTTGTCATAACCATTAAATTGTTAAGAGAAATTTATAAGGTTTGATTAATCTAGCCATATTTTATACTTTTATATAATAATTACTATTTCATTACTTAATATATGGATTTAACTATTAATTACAGGATGAATTCCCAACAATCCATTCATCCGTCAATGTTTTCTAAGTAATCGAGGAACCATGATGCTTAGCAAAGCCACAAATGAAAGGATTCAATGATTCATTGCCATTTGTTAAGAAATGCTCCTCTTTTGGTCACATCGCCATTATTCAGCTATCTAATCTCTCTTTTATATTTAAGCATTAAGATACTTTCAGTTTCCACAATAACTCATCCATTTTACCATTTTAAATTAACTAAAGTTGAAGAGTTTTTTCTAATAGATGGTTAATTTAAAATCTTTATTTTTTAATAGAGATAGTTTTAAATTTATTTACTTAAATGATGTATTTCATGCCATGTTAATGCTACATCGATTTTTATAAATAATTATAAGGGTTTATGACTTTTTGAAATGGTCAGAGAACACGGTTTAACCCCTTTGTTCGGCTGGCTTAGTAGTTTGTTTTTTCAAAATTAAAATTGGCAGAATTAAATTTTAATCATTCAAATTAAAAATTATTTATTATATCATACAGTAGCAACGAAACTCCTCGGATAACAGACAAGATAGGGACAATTAAGAAAACTAAGTACATTAATCTTGAAATACGAGGCAACAAACTGATCAAAGCTCTTCCTTGTCTCTTCTTGCTATAGCAAGAGGTCACTAGTCATGGAGGCAAACTTGGACAACTATTCTCAAGTAGGAATCCGCCTGCTTATTATTTACTAATAATAAGACACCGCCATTAAAAGGGGTATAGGTGGCCTGGTCTGGCGTCTATGCCTTGGTGTGAAGATAGTCATCGATCTCCACAAAGTTCTTCGTTGCAAATTCCTTAATGACGCTTGGATCAGGGATCTCTTCACTCGCCTTCTCAAATTCACAGGACCATTTAACCAAGCTTGACTCGCCCTCGGGAATGACAATGATCTTAGCGATGAAAGTCTTGTAGTATTTCAGGAGATCTCCATCAATGACGCTGTAAACATATATCTTCCCAGCTTCATCCACTGATTCAATTTTCTCCTTTGATACCTTAACGATTGGAGACCCTAAAACGAAAAAAACAACGACGAAATATTCAATTTCACTTATACTAGTATGTAATATTCATTTGCACTCCTTAATTTAGCTACAACCTTGGGTACATTTGCATCAATGCCACTTATTATTGCATTGGGTGCAATAAAAGGCGGATTTTTTTAACAAAAGAGATCGTGATATGAAAATATAAAAATTTAAAATTTGAATTTGTTAGATATCACTCTTAATACTGGTTACATGTATGGATTCAAAAAAGGTGGACTTTAAACTCTTTATAGATGCAAAACTCAGTTATATTTTTTTGGGTCAAGTTCGATGTCCAAAGAAGTTTATATAATGTAATTTTACACAGTCATGCATGGGAAATTAATCAACTTTTGGTAAATTTGTTAATATGGAGGTGCTAAATCCTTGACTATATAACTTGCATTTTCAAAAACTATTATTTCTATCAAATTAGAGAAGAATACAATCATATACTACAATAAATATCATTTCTGGCTCTGATTATTGGATTAACAATTAAGCTAGTTCTCTTGTCCAAGAGTGAGGAGTATAAAATGTCAATAACTATTTTACCTTCAGCGTAATTAATGAGGCGGATAGATCCAGGGGCCTTGCCATCGCCTTCCAGCACTTCAATGCTCCTGTAATCATGGGACAAGGCTTCAGGAAAAATTTTGGTAGAGTCCCTAATGGTTCCCCACACCTTTTCTGCAGGAGACTTGAGCTCAATATCCACATGAAGCTGCCCTTTGCAAGCCATTGCTGTATGCTACTTATACTATATCCTAAAAGGAAACCAAAATTCTTAGTTAGAAGAGAAGGTTTCTGGACTTACTTCTCAGCATAGGCCTGAATATATAGCAGTAGAAGCGATAATTGGTCTCTGAATGAGGATCTGAGGGCATTGAATTTCTCTGGTACCAGTTCAACTGCCCAATTGGATTCAGCCACACGCAAGGCTCCTAGCAAGGGAGACGATCGGGCCCCATTATTCATGGCGTTCATTGATGCAATTTCAAAGTAGTCGGTGAAGCAATAACTACTGGACAGTAGTGCCAACTGAGATCGTATTACTGTTTGTAATGGATGTTAATGGATGAGTACGGAAATGTAGAGTATTTTTTATTTTTATTTTTTGTTTTTTTATATTATATTTTGATTTATATCCATGTTTAATGAATGTTTTAAATTTATTCATATTTTTATTTTTATGAATATTTAGTTGGTATAAATAATTTCAATACTCATAATTTTTTTTAAAATTAAATTTTATTTTGAAAAAGTTTTTAATTTATACGTTTAGATAATTTTTTATAAATATATATTAAAATATATTTTTTAATAAAAATAGATTAATTGTAATTAATTTATAATATTTAATAAAAATTTTATTTATTAATTATATATAAATATATATAATATGATTATAAAATAAGTACTATATTATTTATCTTTATATTTGTATCTAATAAAAATTTAAAATTAGATTTATTTCTATATCTATAATGTGATATCATTCTTATTTCAATCATCATTCAAAAAAATAATAAAATTTTTATTAGATATAAATAAGATTGAAATCCCAAATTATTATGCCATTCATTTATAGTCATGTCGGCGTGGTAGGTGAGGCCTGCCTGCCATTAGACTTATGATCAACACATTAATTTGCTTCATTTCTGTCACTCTTATAGAGTTTTAATGTTCATATCATCAAATATATATATATATATATATGTACATTAGCTATGTTGATGGATATCTAAAAATATTATAATTTTTGATAAAATTATGGAAGTTTAAGAGATAATTTATTGAGTTTTCAAAAATTAATACATAAATAAATAAAAATATATTTTTCTTCATGATAAGAGATCATGAAAATGTAATTTTGTCGTATGATCAAAATATAATATCATCTTACAATTATTAATCCTATTTGGGCATTGAACCTTGAACAGAGTTTTTTAAGTTCATGCCTATTCAAAATATTGTTTTATTTATAAAATATTTTTTATTTTTTTTAATTTAAAATATATTTAAAAACATTTTTTAATATTTTAACACTCTCGTATACAAAAACAAAATTACATGGATAGATTGAATAGATCTTGGATAGAATTTTGAAAATATCATTCAGGCCTTATTCGATTGTGGACAAATGTAATGATGATAAATTCGTATTAATTATAACCAAATGTTGTTGGAACATATGTCACATGATTCAGTACTATTATGCTAATCAGGCCATTGAAGTGCATGAGAAGACCGTTGAGAGTTAATTAGTAAGTCGCTAAAGTAGAAACTAGTTGGTATTATGCGTACGGAGGAGGGTCCAGGGCCTGGCTGTACTCAAAAGCTGGTTACTAGCCAAGCTTTCCAGCAATGTCGACATTGATTCTTTTGTCACCTTCATTTTCCAGCCAGGTCCAGGGTCCTGGCTGTACTCAAAAGCTGGTTACTAGCCAAGCTTTCCGGTAATGTCGACATTTATTCTTTGTCAGTTTTATTTTAATCTTGGATATATTTAGAATATGTTTGAAATTTTTGCTTTTTTTTTTTTATTTGATACAAAAGCCTGTACTTCTATTAATATTTAAGTTTAAGAAAATAATGATGAAAAATTTTTATTAACACTTAGATTATCAAACTGTATTATAAGAATGCATCACCTGGTCCACAATGCCAAGTCATTTTAATTTTTTAATTTTTTAAATTTATTTTTAAAATTAAAAAATAAAAAATGACAAATGACAAATGACCAATGACCAATGATAAAAATCTATTTTTAATTTTATTTTTAATTAAAAATCAAAAATCAAAAATATTTTTTCTCAAAATTTTTATTTTAAAATTATAAATTAAAAAACCAAAAACCGAAAAAAAAAAATTCAAGAAGAGAGAATGATGAACAGATAACAGGGAGCAATGGGACGGAGAGGACTTGTTTGTCGTCGACTTGCCGCAGCCATCCTCTTCCGCCCTTTTATTTTCCACTCAATTTCTCATTCTCATCTTTTTGTTTTTTTTTTTTTTTCTTTTCTCTTTCTTCTTTATTTCCCCTTTCCTATTTTTTTTATTTTCTCTTTTCTAATTTTTATATTTTATTAATTTTAAAAATAAAAATTTTAGAAAAAACAAGAATGATGTGGCATGTATGTTTCGATCACATGGTGCATTTTTGCATGGCTTTTTATTTTAATTTTTTTATCATGATGCACAATTGAGTAACAACATTAGTCAAAGGTATAATCCAACTAACGAAAAGTAAAATTCAAATGTCTAATTATTAATTTTTAAATTTCATTTACTGAATTTTATTATAATTTGAATAAAAAATTTGCAGTTAACCCAAATTTATTACAGTTGTTCACGGGATACATCATAAGAGACACCTACAAGGCAAATAACACATAGATGATCAATTCTAGGAACATATAGAGAAAAAAAGAGCACACATGTAGGACTGGTGAATATTGAGGGATCCGCAGGAGCAAACTTACCAATTGTATGGATCTATAAACTATCATAATGCCGTTATCTTAAGTTCCATATGTAAATGTACAAACTTACTTAACTCTTTTTTCTCCAATAGGATATAACTTATATTAACTAAAAAAGAGATAATACATAATAACGACACAAATTTCTTACACATAATAAAGTTTTAATAATATGAGAATTAAATATAAAAAAGTAAAATTTAAAAGAATAAAATAATGCATATAGTTGTTAGTAATAATAATGTAGTACAAGACTAAAAGATATAACTTGAGGAGAATGATTGTGACTTAGGAACTTTTTGTAGCTTTCTTGTAGAATTGTTGGAGTTGAGTAAATTTGAACCTTAAAATCTAACAAGATGGCTTTAAGGTGTAATATTAGGCTTATTTTACCCCTACTAATTATAGCATGCAAAATGGATGAACAGAAATGCCTTTAAAATATAATAAAGCCTTATTTGTTTCTATTTTGTATTAGTATAACAAATTACTAAACACATTTTAGTAGGATTGAAAATAGCTTGTATTTGTAAAGTTTTTTGTAGCAAACAATGCTAAAGCTATTTGCCTTTGATTGAGAAAAGAATAGAAGAAAGATGAAAGTAATTTTGAATCGAACTAAATGATCAAATGATCTAACATTAATCTTTATTTATAAAGATTTAATCTAAGGTTGTGACTTTTTTATTATATTATTTTAAGCAAAGATTACTTTTTTTTATTATAAATATGTCTTTTTGAAAAATTACATATTAAATAATCAAACTTGTCATTCAAAGAGAAATACTTTTTTACATGTATAGAAATTGCAATTTTCCATACATAGCAGTCAATTACCCTAAAAAGACAGTAGATTGCCTATTTGTTTTTTTTTTTTTTTAATTTTCAAAATATTTTTAGAAGTAGGGTAGTCAATTCCTTTCAAATGTCCAAATGCATCCTATGTGTAAGCAATCGGCATAACAATCAACTCCTTTCAAACAAAAAGATTTCTACATTCAACTTCTTATAGAGCAGTTGATTCCTCTTTGATAGTAGTCGACTGCTATGCTTTTTGTCAATTTTCAAAAGACTCTATATCATTGGCAATCAGTTTCATTAGGGTTAGGAACCGATTCCACATTTTCCCAACTTAGCAATTGATTGTTTTAGGTAGCAATCAATTGCTATTTACACAAAAACTTTGTTTTAGCTTTTATTTAGTAGAGCAATCATCTTTATGTCATTGGCAGTTGACTGCTCTTCCTTAAAATATAAGGTATTGTACTTCTACTAGCATGGCAATTGACTGCTTATATATGCAATTTTTTAATATGACTCTTTCAAGTTTATCATGTCTATTGACCATAAAAACTTTACTTTAAGCTTATATTATAACTTAATATGATTTTCTCTTTGATTAAGTTTACTTAATCATATTTTTATTATTTTGAAAATATTTTCTAACAATATTTACGATTTATTTGTATGAAATTTAGATATGTAGCAATGTCAGTTAATATCATGATGCATTCTTAAACTATTGCAAATCCACAAATCTCTTCCACCTATTTTTAAATTGGTTCATGCAATCATGGATGGCATCTAATAGATTCGAAGTTCAGATCTCAACACATATACTTTTTTCCCTATTGTAGACACTTTTTTTTCAAGCTTTAGATTTGATGTGTTTCAAATAAAGATAATGAAAAATAAAAAGAATAAAAAATAAATAAAAACAGAGTTTTAGTCCTAATAAAATTCTAAGATAAAGAGGTTTGAATTCTAAAACTATGATAAAAAGGATTTCTTTTTATTTTTTTTAAAACCAGGATAAATAGATGAATAGGATAGGGTTTTTTTTTTTTTTAAAAAATAGGGGATCTTAATTTTTGAATCTTTAGTTGATCTTATGCTTAATCTGTATATAAACCATTGATTACACAACCAAAGGGAAGGATAGACTATAAGAACAAAAAGAGCACAAGAGCAACAAAAAATTCTCAAAAAAAATTTTTTGCAGAAAAAAATAACTTAGAGTTTTTTTTTTTTTTGGAATTGTGAAAGTGGGATTTGGCTTTGCTAGAAAGATCTCAGGAAGTAAAAAGGTGATTAGGTATTTTTGGGGTTTTTTTTGCATTTTTTTCTCTCTAGAAAATTCTAGAAACTTGAAAACCCAATCCTTGGCAACTAGCCTAAAAATTGGTGAATTTTTTAATGGATTTACGGCTTGAATCCTAAATTTTGGTACCCTTTTTGCAGAAACCTATGCCGAGAATCGCTTAAAGAAAGAAATAGAGGAAAGAGAGAAAGACTAGGGAAAATCTGAGGAAAAAAGAAAATTTGGCCTTTTATACAAGTGAGAAAATGATGCCATTTTGAGCTTTAACCTCCTTCAAGATCTGCATGTTTCCATTTGCCCCGACTTGATTCATTCCATTAACCTAGAAACCCGTTTTTGT